TCTTCAAGAGTAAAGAGCCCGAACCCTTTTAGGCTTTTTACTAGCTCACTATCCTCTATCGATCGACGTACGAACGAATGAAATCGGAGCGCGTCACTTGGGAATGTTCCCTCGTTAGTGTATACCTTGTCCTTTTCTGACTCCGTCGATATTGTGTAAAAAGCACGGATAGGAAAGCATCCACAATTTCTACGTCTTTTGTTCTTAACACATGGTGATAAATCATCAAAGCGTTTAATAAAATAGATTTATTTCCAAATAGCTAAATCAGTGTTCGTCATGTTATACAATAGGTTGAGCGTATTGTGTTTTCTGTACACATTGTATAAAAATCTCAAACTACCTGGTTCAGCAAAAACAATCTTAAAATAACACAACCGTTTCATGGCCACTAACCTCAATACGAATAGTTCCCAATAACCACCGCTGTGATCACCAATTAATGAGTTAAATTCATTAATGTCGAATGTAATTGTTTCTAATCTAGAATGATACTCTAAACAAAAACAGAAAATAACAAGACATGGCGAGAAAATTATGGTTTCAGCTTACCTAAAAATGATGCCATATAATCAAGAATGCTAACTACACAACTGGTCAATGTCAAATGTAATAAACGGCTTTTATGTGCAGGAGCAATCAATGGTGTGAAATATCTGAATCCAGGCATATCTAAATCCATTAAATTTGGTAGAATATTTAATAATTCCATAACGTACGGAGACGAATGAATAATTATTAATTTTTTAACATGAAATAGATTCCTGTAATTGAACTTGGATGAATCACCATGGATAAAATTAATTCTTTTCCTAAATACTAAGTTTTCATCACTATTATATGTCAGAAAGTTGAAAAATGTGTTATGTGAAACTGGATTCGGTATTTCATCACAAATATCAATTTCCAATGGTGAATACGGTAAAGTGTAAATAAAATAACGTTTACCAAGATTTACATGCCAATGAATCGTTGGTGATTGAAAATGAACGTCTTGAAATGTTTTTATCATATTTTCAAGTTGAAAAGTCTTTACTTCATATAATAATATACACTATGTTGTTTTATTTC